TTGCATTAACAGGGGGGGAAATTTAGCAGGCATGCAATTTGTCTTATTGATTGGACTAATGTCCAGTGGCAGTTGATGATTCTACGGTAGATACTCGAATATGGTACATTGGCTACCCAATTGTATTCCTAAATTGTAAATTTCACATGTCTGCGAGGTTCTACTTGAAAGTGTGTCAAATATACATGTTCGCTTGACACGAATCCTACGACTCGGAGGAATCTCTTTTATTTAAATTTTGAACAACTGCAAGATGTATGATGAATCAATCACCTGAAGCCATCCCATCAATATGAAAACATTGAAGAAGGGAAACTTTGCGATCATTCCGCAAATCCTTTCGATCGCAAATCACAGTACTAATCACAAAAGAGTACACTCGAGATACAGCTGGTGTCACATGGCTGCCACAACGATTGAGGAATCAAACGTGAACAACTTGGCACCTTACCACGCAACAAATACTCTTCTCTGCAAAAGTTAAGGACAATGATGAAAAGTCCTTGTGCCAAAGGGTTGTCCTATAGAGAACCCGATAGGCATTGAAACCTAGAGGGCTGAAATGTGGGTTATACTTTGCGCATCCCAAGGTTACATATTAAATTCTTACAATAATATCCTTCTCAACCCAGCATCATTGCAAGACCTGTTCACCTCTATCTCACCGGACTGTAACAACCAGTGTACCAAATTCTCTCTTCTGAAGTTTTGACGATGATGATTGAATTCCTACTGAGCTGGACACTAAAAGATGGGTGAATGCGATTTGAGGTAGCCGATATGCTAGCTGTTTACTCAGTCTATGTATCAGAGAGCCTTTCAAGAGCTCTACCGTTATAAGCAGACACCATGTCTCCCATGCGGAAAGTCAGAACAGGCCGGAGTTAGTGCAAGAGAATCTACCTCTGCTGGTAGAGGAGAACAGATACACAACTGTCTACTCTCAAGCTTAGGCTACACGAGTAAAGTGAGCAAAATGCTTCGCAAACAAACTTTGCTTCCGTCTACATGTACCTTTTCGTTCATTACAGATACAATCAATTTGGTTTTGCTGGATATTCTGATGTAGAGACGGTGTGGACTACAGTTGATGAAGATTACGTAGACCCTTCATGATCATAGCAACGAATGATGAGTGGGTAGAGCCCTATGGGATGGTGAATGGGTGGTCTTCACAAGGTTTCATCCACTCTCACAAGCAACTAAGGAACTAAGCGCATACTAGGACAACAATCTCGTAAAAGCATCCCATGCTCAAGAAGTCCAAGCTGAAACGAAGGGCATAACAGAACTCCAACAATTTATAACGCTAAAAGTTGAAACTTACGGACATGGCACTTTAGCATGACTGTTTGCAACAAATGTCTCCGATTGAGAAAAGAAGTTATTTTTGCATTGTCACAGGAGAACTTTATAACTCGGAGGATGAAATGTCTACTAACTGTTGAATGAACAAGGAATGTGTGCAGCAAGATGCATGACAGCCGTTTTGTTTTACCAGTGTGATAATATATTCCGGAATTTATAATAATCAGAGCTATTTTTTTTTCTCCATTAAGGAGTCATTTATCTAAGAAACTAGTTGGCTAATCTGATCACTGGCTATGTGCCATGAGGCAATGACAATGGTGCAAAAGCATTTTGATGCAGAACGGAGTTGAGTTTTATGCAACACCAAAACCTCGTTTCCTTTTCTTGCAGATTTCGATGGAAGAACAGATACAAGTTAGAAGACGAAGAAAGTGAGTGGCCACGTAGGTGAATACAGACCTTAAATTCATACTGACCACCACATGTAAGGCCTTAAATGACACTGCGCGCATACGCAAGTTGTGAAATCATTTATAGGTGATGGTGCACTGCCACGTCGGATGTATACGAAATCCCCGCATCCCTCCATTCAATTCGGTCAACACCAAAATATAGAGAATCGCTACAAAGTTGCCATTACTATAAGATCTATGGAAGCTAGACATTCTATAAGAAGAAGCTATCGACTTTGGTCCAATGAAGACCACAAATTCTTTCTCCAATCAACAACAAGCGTTTGCATCGGGTTTTCTCAACCCTTATTGGTCGAAATTCAACCCTGAGGCACGGTTTATGTCCAATAGGCGTCGACAGGGTGGCCCAATTTTATGAAGCTCTGATTTGAAGTGCCTCTTCTAATAAATTTACAGCCACCTTACCATCGCCCAGAGGGCATTAGGCCACTTTCTTACCGACAGTATCCAAGGATATGCTGGGAGCCGTAGATGCTGAGGAATCTAAGCGGTTGGAATGACAAGCCCCATACCTGGACCTGGCCAGCAGGGCAGCGTGGTGAGAACCGGGAAGAGCCAGTAGAATCGCTTCATACTGTAAAAACGATGGAGAAAGCCAATGAGCGAGGAGGAAATGTGGAGTTATCTTGCCGTTATGCATGATATTTGTATGGAACCAGAGTGAAGGCTTTCGATTGCCTGAACAACAGGAATTTTTACGACTATCGATTCGGCAGAAGAAACTGCAGGAGAACGCAGAGCAGTGAAGAGATTAAGAAAGAAAGAAATAATGGCGAATGGCCGAACGTTAACATCGAAGAATCTGGACGATACCATTGAGCGAAAACAGATTCTGCTCTTGCATAGACAGAAAGGATGAGAATCGGATCTTTGATATTGACCGTGGAATCTGTTATTTTGCAAACCTTTCAGGCCACTGATTGGACTAAATTTAGTGAACTGGACCCATGGACACTTATTTTATGTCTTTAAATGTTACCCAAATCCATTTGTATATCCCAATTCGCTTCGACGAGTTCGCTTGCGATTTGGTCTGGAAGTCCGGGCCGATCTATGAGCCACTAATTGCTCGAGAGAGCAGAGGCTCTGGGAATCGCGGGTGGGGATCTGACACGAGCCAATCAGGTCCCGAAGCAAAGGAAAGGCAAATTTAGAGCTTCCTACTGCAAACTCACTACCATTAATGGAGTTGTACAGTGGTTCGGAATGAAGGAGATATGACTTCTCTATCTACAGACCCAATTATTACGGGGAAGGTATGTTCATAGACAAGCACGGGTAGACTAAATTTATACTTTCTCCAAGTCAAGCTTGGCTGACGATAAGAGCCCCATGTATCCCAACGGCAGCCTAAGTAGAAACAGACCCAAAAAAATTTGCTTAAATAGCTCGAAAAGTGAGCCCACCTGTTCACGATGTATGAGTCACTGAGCCCAAGAGAACCTTCATTCTGTGGGAAGGCTATATTCAAGCATGAGATGATGTGCAACTAAATCTGCATATTTGAGCACTTGGTTTATGATATCTTAGACTCGGGACAATCATGAATATGGTCTGGAATGGAAATGTGTTCAAGTGAAGCTTACTCAGCCTACTAATGAGTAGTAACACAAAGAGATGCGAGTTAGAAGCATTTGAAGAATCTCATGATACGAGAATGTGAGATCATCTCTTTTTGGGAAGTCAAGTTACCGTGAGCTTTGCTTGTTTGTTATAGACGACCACATGCAACCCCAGTAGAGCAAAGAGGAGAAATCGTGTAGTGATGCCTAGAAGCCAGAGCCATTCTTCACTATACGCTCAAAATTGGTAATATCTCAGAAGTATGTGATTCCAAGTAATCTTATCTTGACTCTCAATTCCACTTTGACCTTCATCATACGAGGGTAGTTGGTTCAAAGCACGAATCTCATCCTTGACTGGTTGTCGAATTTATATGTGATAGGGTGATGCCCCCATTTGACTTCAGCGTTGTCCCATGCGGTACTCGAGTGACCAACCGGCAGATTTCCTGTCCCTAGAGATTGGAAGTGGCGAATTTTTTCCTGCTACAATAGTGTATTTGTTTCCAACACCTTACTATACGCCTCTTTCTCCATCTCCGAACCATATCCACTTATGGGGGCTATGCATTCCTTTTGATGATTACACCTCTAGTGTCCCATATCTGCGTGAGATTATGGACAGCTCATGATCGATTGTCCATCACAACAGGTAGAGCTCAAGTCAGAGATGGCTAATTCCCCTCGTTTACCTTTAAGTGATTGAAAGTTTAGCTAACAATCTGCTTTCATGTAACTTTTCATTCTTTGAACCCATTGATCTGAGTAGGGACGATATAAAATCAATTCTCAAATTTCTCACATACAGGGCAGGACATAGAGAGCTGCACCTACAGGACTTTCTCATGTTCGAATTGTCTTGCTTGCCACGAATGAATGAGCCAGTTGCCTTTTAGGAAATGCCAAAACCATACCAGGAGGAAAATTTGATGAGCTGAGAGTAAAATCTGAAAAATCTCCGTCTAGAGACGTCTGACGGCCTCGATGTAAAGCGCTACACGTGTGTAAGTTTCGTTCTTGACGCACGGCTTTCGACATGGAGGCTTTGTTCCATGACCAAGCATTGACAGACGCTTATGTCAATGGAATGGTACCTGTAAAATCTATTAAATGCGTAAGTTGGGATGGCTGGACAAACCTCCAGTTGATTACAGAACGCAAGCAAGACATACCCGATCACGACAAGCTAAGAGGTAACTGGACTTTGGACTACAACACAGTAGATGCAACAAAGAGCAGTGTACAGTGTGACAGATGTTTGCTTTGAGGCCGTCTCTATGGCGACGGAGACCGGGACTAAACTGGGCAGGCATCTACAGGACGTTGTTTGTATACTTGCTCTACGCGAGCCTAACATTCATGAAGAATAATGAGACAATTTCGAAGCTTAGCAAAGGCGGGAGGGGACTGGAGGGAGGGCTGGGCTGGGCTGGGCCAAGTTGCTAGCCTGAAGAAGCCAAGGGAAGAGGAGAGGAGAGGGGACTATGAGCCAGAACGACCTGTAGCGTCTACGGAATACAGCGACACACCTCCAGATACCGTGCCAGTTGAGCAGGCCTCCCAGGGAACAGATTGGATGGCACCCGGGAAGCAAGAATTAGAGAGAGAGAGAGAAGAAGAAGAAGAAGGAGAAAGAAAGAAAGAAAGCAGGAAAGAAAGAAGGAGGATGATAGAGGAGCGAGCATAAGCCGCTTTTGGGCTTTTGGTTTCTTTCCTGGGCCAGCTTGAAGGGCCGGGAGAGCATGAGGAATGGGACCATCCCGCTGTGCAATTCAACCGGCACAGCAGCTACCGATTCCCGGGGCCGGACCTGTTAACACTTGACCAACAGCACGGAAGCTGCAGAAGTCTTACATGACACAGAGCTCCACTCATTCACCATGGCCGCGGCGTCTAAGTAACCATCGATAGAGGAGAGAGTACGAGAGTAAAAAAGTTGCTTCTAGGAACCACTGCAGCTGGCAAAGCTTTGTGGTTTGCTATAAAGGGCGCACTTGGTAGGAGAAGCTGTGTCATTGCTTCTGCATCTCACTTGTGCGCGAAGGGGATGGTCAAGAAGTCCAAATTGTTCCATATGGACTGCGAGAATGTCGCATGCACCGCGAATCCGGGACTGTGGACAAGAGCTCGGCACCATTTGCTGCCACGAAGGACATTCTGCTTGGATTCGTAGACGACTGTAGTTGGATGTTTTGTTTGCAAAAGCGCTCTTCTGAGTCTTCTATAGGTGTTACGATCTGGCCTGCGAGAAGATTCTAATTCCCACACTGAACCATTTTTCTCGTCAAAGGTTCACCCTTTCCCTTCATCATGTAGGTCTTGTATTCGACGATAGGTTCCAGCGCATATTTTCCTGACTGTAAAATTTGCGTTTGGTTGCGATCCTTCGTTCGTCGTGAGTGCATGCAAGCTTGGTCGGCTTCAAAGAGCGTGCTTCTGATAACAACTATCGAAGACATCATCGGAGTCTATCTTTCCACACGTAGAATTAAACTTTTTGATGTCTCGGTATATGTACTGAATCTGCTTCACAGTCGAAGCCAGTCTTTGTGTGATATCGGAGCGCCGTATCTGTTCTGTTCGCTTTTCGTCTAAACCTTCACCCTGAAGCTTTCCACCTGTAGCTTCTGTCGTCCGAGGCGGAAACACTGTGTTCCGCGATCAGGTATTTTGTCCGCGCGCTACTTCTATCACTTGAGGGTGGTTGAGCTTCTCACGAAGCGTTCTCCTATTTTTCCTTCCGTGCATCTTGCTCTCATTGACATCGCTTTGCTGCTCTAAAACTCCGACTGCCTGCATGCGGGACGGAATTACCGTGACATCTGGGGCGTCTAAGACACATGAAGCCTGCAAGTAGGAGCATGCACATTGGCGAGAGACACGAACGTTTAACCTGATCTCTACGCACACCAGTGTTTGTATCAACTGATCTGTCATCCTGGGCACAACTGTCTCGAGATATTTTCTTCATCCGAGGTGTTGGCAGCTGGAATGAGATGTTGGTCTCCCGTCAAATCACGTTGCCGGAATTCCGTCAGAACGCTTGGTTGCAGCGGGAGTAGTGATTGTAAGATCTCGTTGTTATCTGTCTGTCCGGTTGAAAGACTCCTTAGCTGAGAGATGCCAGTCGTGAGCCAGTTCACATGTCACCCCAAACCAGCCACTCGGTCTCCTTATATATACTACCCTCAGCCCTAATCCGTCAGACTTACTTTGGTTGATCTTAAAGACCGTCTGAGTTGTGCCACTGGTACAAATAACGAACAGGAAACACTCAACAGGGTTCGTGAGGCACTCAGCTGGAAACAAAGGCATCCTACGTATGAGTTTCCAGATCTACTGTCGAATGTCTGCATTCTCAATCCAGTATATCTGATCACTTCATATGCTGCAATGCTCTATGTCTGCATCTGCACCTGCACCAGTTCTACTCTTGCTTTGGCCAAATTTCTGGAGCTCGATCAGTTCGGGTGCAGGTGTGGTTGCAGATACATAACATTGTCGCTCCTGCAACCACATGTACTACAGTGAAAGTCAAGTATTCAAGTATGGTCTCTCACGAAGAAAGTGTGTTTCGAGGTGACTTCCTGCCACTGCACCCGCAGAACACCTTGCATGCCTCTTGAGTTCCCTCGAGCGGAAATTGTGGTTTCTGATTGCAGCAAAGATGATATTTGTTCAGAGACGTCTCTTCCTGTCGACACGACAATAAGCTCGATGTTGTCTTTCCGCTCTCATTAGACCAGTCGCGTTAACCCGTCCTGGTATGGATTTGTTGTGTTTCGAAGACTGCCTAGGCATTGCAATAGGAATCTATCATGCAGATGGTACGTTCCCAGGTGACTAAATTCAGATATGTATACCCTTTCTTGACAGATCTTTGATAGATGTACAAGACATAACGTGCATGCCGAGGCACGAGAAGAGGAAGTCCATTTTGGTTCGTGACGATTGCGTCATACAGCTCCTAGACAACGACACGAGCTCGTTTAAGATCATCTCGGTGAACGTTGATGGATCTTATCTTGGAGCCTAATCCTTTTCATTTCGGATGGAGCCATGATAATCGATTTTTTCATGAGCCGGTCGATGTTCCATTATCTTTAAGAAGCCGGAAGCTTCGTAATCAACAACTCAACGGCGACATACCTTAAGCTCGGAGAGATAGAGATGGTGTAGAATCTACCCGCAAATTGTCTGAATTGCAGAGCATTACTGGCCGCTATCATTGGCGTGAGTTACTTGCATTAAATCCGAGGCATATGTCTTACCCATGCGTCGTCAGATAACCTGATCGGTGGAATATGTCTCACGTGCAGTTTCCACATCATGGAAATCTTCCCTGGAATCCTAAATCGATGCATGTTTTCTGTCGACAAAGAAGTCAGTTTTAGTCCGACGATATATTCCGACTATCGGACAATTGATCTGACAGTTCGTACCGGGAAGATTTGGACATGTCCTTTGCGAGTCCTCATTTCCAAGTCACTACTGCTCAAGGTTATACATCTTTTGAGTGGTCCCAGCCCATGTCGAGAGTACCTTTTCACGTGGTTACCCACAGAAGACTGTCTGAAGAAGGACCTACTGGCACACGTCACTTTACCCTTTTGTCTCTCATCCAGTAATAATGTTTCGTTCTACTCGGAAGGCTGTGAATATACTTTACATATTGCAGACTGTTGTGTGTAGAATTTGACATACCACTCCCCCGGCGTTTGTGTACTTTCTAAGGCTTATTGTGCCTGCGTGTGGAACAGGTGTATTGGTAGTAACACAAACATCGATATCACGTGGCACATGTAAAACTCTCGTATACTGGACCAGTAGCAAGGTTTGGACATATATTTTGCTTCTAGTTACGATTCTTGCAGCATTGGAGTAGGCGACAAAGTTATTTCTACCGCCATCAGTGCGGATAATAAAACTTTGCATCTGATACCCTGCGAGTGAGACTGTGCTAGTGATGATGGAAATGAGAAATGTGAATTATCTGATTTGGAGACATGTTATTATCTTAGTATGGATTTTCCTCGTGTATCACTGGTGAAATTCTTTTCTCGTGCCACTCAATATTGAACGAGTCTGGGTCTATAAACTGCCAGTATTGACAAAATTCACTACAGGAAGTGACGTCTCTATTTGAAACTTCTCAAAGTCAGGGAAAGTAGGTCAAGCATGAAAAGGAGTTTAAAATTGATATGGAAAGACGAAAGCACACGTTTGTTTCCTGACTGTTTTCGTTTTCTTTCATAGTTATGTCCAGGTCAGTCCTGTCGAGACCTGCCACTAGCATTCATATCCGCGTATTGGAAATCCGGGCGAGAGGAAATATGCGGACATGAATGGGGCAGTCAGATTGGGCCTCCAACAACCATATATATTCCGGATACTTTGAAACGAATGCGTGTAACCAAAGAGTCTCAAAGCAGATGACCACGAACTGTAAGCAAGACTCATCTGAGCCTTGTCATGTTTTGAAATTTGCCCATGCTGCTGTAGTCATATACCCCTATCCTGATTGCCCAATGTAACAGTGCACGTGCAAAACTTCAGCCACTTTGTTGATAAATTATGTGAATATCAGCAGAGCATGTGGGACATTATCTGATGAAGTTATGAATATAAATCTTCAAACATTTTTTATGCAGACAGACTGAATTTTGACTGGGCATGAAGAATTTTTCTGCGTGAGAGTACCAAGAGTGACCGCGTTGGGTTTGCACGATCCAAGCTCTGTTGAGTTTGGATTTATTTTGGAACAATCTCATATCTCTCAATTGCATAAAAGCAGAAAAGAGTAGCAATGATCGCAATCATAGCGACCTTTTCATAGGCAACATCGCTGCCTGACAGACAGCCTTGCATCTTATTCAGCTGCCCATGCATCATGGAATACTCTCTCAAGTGCCCAGTCTTAATCAGAGAGAACTACGTACTATCAGCGAGCTACCACTTGCACTTGCCATCTCGTGGACGATGATTGCGTATGACACAGACGACATGAGATGCTCACAAATTCCCTCCGTGAATTCCTGGCTGCCAACCTTGACAAGAAGACTCGTGCCTGCTGCCTGCAGCCCATGAGTCGGCTTGATCTAACATGGTGAGCCAGGCACGAGATTGACGCACGGGCTTGGGCCTGTACTGGCCTAGTCCCGAAGACGGGTTCTCAGATCGAGAAGATAGGTTGTGGCGAAACGTTTGTACCCTTGGGTCTGGTCACGCTCACTCGCGGTTCCGGCTGCTTCCGGGTGCCTCCTCACATCGTACAGAAGAAGGAGGGCCGAGGGGCGCGGAGGAATACTCGTCCCGAACACGGTGAGAAGAGCGAGGCAGCGAGTGAGCGAGGGAGTTGAGGAGGCGAGGCGAGGCGAGGCACTTGATTGCAATTGAAAGCGTAGCCCCTGTGTTTTGGTGATCGCCAGCTGCCTTTATGCCACGCTACTGTTTACATCACTTTGTCACGTGGGTGGGTTCAAACCGGCCAATCGGCTCGCGCATATAGCCTCTGCCCGCTCTCGCTGCCCGGAATCACAAGAGACAGCTGCCCAGCCCAGCGCGCAGTTTTACTACAGCCCGGCGGTAATTTAATAAGCCATGCCATCCATGATCCCATGCGTCGCCTTCCGGCCCTGAGCCGCGATCAGTTGAGGCAGAATTGAAGGGCTGGCTCGAGGCGACCCGAGCGGCGGGAGGCCCATGTGAAATAGTAGTACAGTATGTTGCGGCAACGCAATGTGTGCATCGTGTACACACATACACACTGCATGGCCCCAGACGCTCACCTTCACCGCCCTCACATGTCTTGCATGATAACATTGGTGTCATCATTGACACGCTCAGTGATGTTGTACCATCTGACCGATGCCAACTTTCTTGCGCCTTTCGCATCTACGTAGCTCCGCTCAGGCAAGACAGCGTACCATTCTCCTCCCCGCCCTCCTCATCTGCTTTCCTTCCTCTCCTCGCCTGTCGATTCTCGTCTGGCTTTCTTTCTTGCCTGACCCCGCAAGCCGTCGGCTTTCCAGTGCTGCGGCTTCATTCTCCATGGGTCTGGTGGTTTTTTTATGATCAAAGTGCTGCCTCGAAAGGTGATGCCTTCTTTTCTTGATCTTCTGATTCTCTTGCGCGGGCCGTATTCTGCGTCTGTCGGTCTGCTTGTCTCTGTCCTCCTCGTAACGCTGCGGCTCCCGCGTGCATGCCACTAGAAGCAACGAGGTTTCTGGATAGAACTCATAGCCGGACCATTCAACTCGCGACAGATGGATCCACCCATGTCCACAGTTGCTCTCTCAAACGCTGTTGCTAGAGCTGTCGGTGTCCACTAGAGCCGTTGGATATGCGGCACGCTATTGCACTGTAGTCAAGTAATGAACTGGTCCATTGCCGATTACCTCCATCCCTGTTACCACATACTTCTTCATATTTCCACTTCTTCATAAACCGTAACGTTTCACTTTGGGCTGGGGGACTGGGTTTAATTCGTCGCCTTGCGTGTGCTGCTTCTGAGGCAGATATTTCACGAGTCCACGCTTCTGAAATGATGTGGAAATGCCCACCTCTCGCTCACTATAATCTCGGCAATTGCGAGCCGGAGGACTCTGATCATTGCATGCTGTGAAGGTGTCAGCAGTGAGAAGAGGAACTGCAGTTCGTGTGACGAAGGGTTAAGACGTATATATAGCACTATATTTCAAGTTCCAGTCTGACCACTGCTAGACTAGAGTCACTAATCCTTCCTGTGGTGTCGTTGTAACTCTGACTTATCTAGGCTGTGAACCTGTAAAGTGGTGAAGTAAAAGCGGTCGTGAGAACTGTATGACAGAAGATTTTCAGTACCTTCTGCTGCAATTGTGCCAATTAGATTTTCGACTCATCATGGGCACAACATATGACATGACATGGCCTGCTCTACAACCACCGTCATGCATAGATATTTGGACGAGTTCATCGCCCAATCAGCCACCGGCTTTGTTTCCACCAATTACATCCTTCATTCTCTACCCAAACCGATCTCAGTCACTCAACTAACATTTAACTACGTTCAGACATCCCCAGCCACATCACAGTGTATAGAATAATATAAGTAGTAGACTTTTTGACCAGAGCTACGAGGACAACTGAGTTGGTACATCCGAACCTTCGGCCATTGTTCTCGGAAAGCGAGCTAATTGAATCAATGGCATTTCATTCGTGCCCTCCGATGGTTTCGATCGACAGAGACAGCACTGTCCAGATGAGTTGCCACGCGTATCTTCCATGTGCTTTCCTTGACCTTCTTGATGTTCGTGTCGTATACTAGTCGACCCATTTCGCGGACAATTCGTCGTGGTCGACTGAATATTCAATCTACAATACTTGGCCTTCGAGGTACCGAGTTCTAACACTGAGCCGCTGCAGATTCTAGGGAACACTTTTAAACATTGATGGTTAATTTCTTCCTCAGCGAACTGTGACAGATTCAGCTTCACCCTACCATATCCAAGAATCTTCCGAAAAATTGACGCAGTGTAGTGAGCCAACACTTAAAGACTTGAGAAATCAACCTTCTAGGTTCGAGGAAAGTTTTAATTTTTACCAGCTTGAATACCTTGAACGAAATGTTGACGCTCATTAGTTTTGGTTTATTTGGCAATTACTCAGCTCATGAGGTCCCAGCGTCGGTTGTGTGTTTATTTAGGGCACTCGCAAATCAAGGTAGTTCAATATTTTTATAAACAGCGCTGAGGAGTTGGTGAACACCAGGTGACTCATGGTCATTCTCGCAGAATATTGTTGAGCTAATCCCTCAGATTTCTCATTTCTTTTCCTTGACGCTCTAGAATTCATTTTCTTGAAATAAGTCTGGACGCATCATTAGATATTTCTTACATCTTTAACTTAGACTTGACGGCAAGCAAGTTTCGGTGGCTGTATACTGTTATCACAAAAGCCTTCTTCTAAAACTATCGAAGTGATTCTTCGGCAAGCAAAACGAGATTGCAGCGTCCAACTTCTTCTCTCCTCAATCTCGTTCTATTCCATTTTTAACATTCTATTTTCTTAATTAAATCAAATTTATGCTTAAATGTTTTTTCGATGATGAGTTTGACCTCTTCTCAGAACTGTTCCGAATATGAGACGTGATACAGTAGTCTCAAATATCATAAGAGCAAGCATTTTCTCGGTGAGAAATGCCTAGAGCAAAAAGGAGGCAAAACCGCTGAGATATGCGGTTTTGGCTCCTTTTCGCTCTAGGTCATTTATATCTTCGTAGACCTGGAATTTCAAAGTGAAGGGTGAAGGAATTTCAAATTTTGAAGGGGATTCTATTTAGGGTAGAAATCGATCCATTATGAGTACAGTATTGCTACTTGTGGACAGATTGTGATTTGAAAACTGGAACTAAAATCTTGCGGTAGATAAACCATGAACCTACGGTCAAAGAATCGGGATTTGCTGTTCAACTGAACTACTGTGAAATTGTGAGTATGATCAGCTATTTGCAACGTGGACCTTGGCATCAAACCACTCGAATCGCCATGGTGAAAACCCCGTGTAGAAGAGATGACGACAATTCGAAAGAATTCAATAGGAAATTTTTTGTTTTGTCAATATCTTTTTCATCGTAGCAACTTTTCCGAGATACATAGACTTTCCCATGGAACCTGAGCTCTATAGGAACTGTAAAATCTCTTACACTGAAATACAGATCCCCATATTTTCCGTTCCTTCTGATATAACCAATGTGCCAAACGTGCTGTTATATTAAGAGAAACTTAAAGGCGAGCCAGAATTGCATTCTCTAAATTAAAGACAGCCAGAGCGTTCAGTCTAGGTCATGATTCAACTTCCTGTTTCAAGTCATCTTTATGGGTTCCATGAAGCTCTTTAGTTTTTTCTGTTGACAGCTAAATTCTGTCGTCTTAAATTTCGTTTTCCAAGTCTTACTCATTGGACCGAAGAAATGAAGAAGAGATCACACAGCCAAATTACTGGATTCTAAATGTTGTCCTCAGAGTAGTTACACACTGGCAATTGAACAAAAAGGACCGAAAACAAATTGAGTGCTCTTAACAAAGAACGTAGCTTCAGTGGGTGTAAAACAGATGATGACTTAGTCCTCAGCACGCATTCTTTCCATAATTGAACAAATTTCCCTCCGACTTTCATGAAGTATGAGTTCGTCCGATGCTAAACCATCTCAACAAATGTTAGAGATACGTATTGTATTTCTTCATGGCCTCCTTGAACTGCGTCAATAGATGAACAAGATGTCAGAGATGTTGTCCACTGCCTTGGAGAAAGAAGCGTGATAACTTCAGGGCTGACAAGAGAACTACAGTGAAATACAACTAATGTGCTGCACATATTCGGTCTTTTGTTCTCTCGCTGACCCTTGCCGCAGTTGTACTTCAAGAGTCCATGTTGCTTGCCGCTGTCAAAGTATTGAAAATGAAAACAAAGTTAAATAGGGTTTCTTAAATCAGCGGGCCTGCCTTCAAATGACAAGCTACATAGTTCGTTAAATCGGAACACAGTGAAGGCTGGATCTACTTCAGATTGGTGAGCTGGACTCTCTTTGTGCTGCACACTGTCAGAATCCGCAAAAATTAGCCCTTCTTCTAATGTCAAGCTGATAAGTGTGTTGGATGGAGGCACCAGCGCCCCTTCTAACCGGCCTCCGGAGGAAATGAAGGTCAGGGAATGTGTGAGTTCCACTCTGTAAGTCTTCATATAACAGGAATGACGCTAGGATATTTGCGTTTACTGCTAACCGTACATGAAGCCATGGTTTTAATTACTTTGGCAAAATATCTTTTCAGCCTGCATTTGCTGCTTCATGGTGGCTTGCTATCCTCGCAAGGAAGACCATTTCACACTGGTCCGCTTCTAGATTGTTAAGCATTAAACAGGATGAAACAGAAGAAGCTTGAATATTTTGTTCGTACAATCAAGGAATGAGCAACGCATATTCAACAAACGACTTCTGCACCAGCTCCTTTTACTATTCTCCGTCATTAGGTAACAGTGATCAATCTTAGTCGACTGCAGAATCCTGCAGCGGGATACAAGAGTTGGATTGAGTATACATAAGAATTCACACTGGACCCAGGAATCCCATAAGAATTATTTGATACTGAGATTTATATTTATATTTGAAGTATAGTCTTTGCTAATATTTAAACGTTTCGAACTGTACAGTAGATTCCGAAATACAGTTAGTGGCATTCTGAAGTTTCCAATATTTGGTATACAACCTTGATGAGGATAAATATTATAAATTATTCCCGAACTACCCAGTGTGTATGAAAATTGGGTGTATTTTTACACAATTCTGAAGTCGCTCGTCTTCGGATATATTCACCCGTTACAGTGTAATCAGTAAATAATTTGTTGTCTTCAGAAGAAGTCAATGAATAGAAAGTCGTGGCTCCGACTCCCATAGAGTATCATGACCAAATTTGGCGAAAGTATAAACTGGCCTTAAGCTTCTGAAATGATTGATCACTTCGGTGCATACCGTAAAAACACATTATCACATTGTGTGAAATTAAGATATATCGTTGGTGTCTTTTAAGCATTATGGTACTGAATACAGTAAACACAACCACAATTTAGGTCTGATCTGAAAGTTATGACATTTTACAGTGAGGAAAGTCTACATTGTTCCGAGCAACATCAGATCCCTTTATGTACACAATATGGATGATCATCTTTTCTTACCTACTCCACATGTACGTAGTCATTCTATCTTGGAAATTTTATCTCTTGCTAGGGCTCTGGGTGTGCAGAAGTTTTAAATTTTCTTGTCCCAGATAGGACCACAATGGTCCATTGTGAACCTATCAACCGTGTAGAGACAGGTAATGTTAAGAGCTGAAAAGACTCACAATGATTATACCGTTGAGAAGAAGTTCTATTTCGGCGAAGCTGCTGACGTAGCCAATTTGAAAAGAAATACGATGCAATTATAAATCTTAGAAACCTCTGAGTTTACGTTCAGTGAGTCATTTTAATACTGCGTTGGAGTTGTCTTCACTAGACTCGGGATCAGCTTGCTTGTTAGAAATACATCTACAGAATCTTCATTCTCCGACTAATCACAACGTACTTCCACTTCCTTGAAACTATTCAGACGAAGAAAAAGAATTCATGTCACCACATTTCTCCTATCATCTATTATGATGGAGATGAAACTTCTGCACTTTGTCCTTATCTATCATCACTCATGAAACCCATCTTCGTAACTGTAAACAATTATATGTACCAACTGTATTTTCCTCTTCATTGTTTAGCCAGTTCTGTCTGCTCTATTACTGACGTGACTGGACTGTAGACTTTTACGATCTGTTTGTAGATAGATTCTGTACTGCGCACTTAATTTAAACGGTATTTTTCATGTATACATTCACAATCTGATAAGTTCTAGTGTACTGAAAAATTGTACTCACGTGACTGGGAGTAAGTGTACGTGGTCTCGGGGAGTACAAGCGCTAATCGGCGGTATGTTGGAATACGAGTATAATTTTTTCTCCTTCACTTCTCAGCTTGCTGATTGTTATGAACTGTTACATTTTCGTTTCACTTTGCTATTGTGATGTATACTGTCTTTCCTCTTCTATTTTTCACTACTCTGTTCTTAAATTGTACGCAGATGTATCCTCTGTCCTGTCCGATCTGTTTTCTAGTTTTTATTTCTTCATTGATAGGTCAATTTATACGCCCAGCTGACGAAAAGATTCTACCTGACTTTCCGTGTACATGTGACAGAGCTAGTAGCCAAAAAAACAGATTTAGCTGCAATAATACACCCTTATTCTCACGAGTGTTCGTCTTCGTGGGTTAAACAAGACCAGCAACCAACGAGACTATCCGTGTTTTATCCCCTAGCACGTGTGCGGATGGAGCAAGGTGATCAGTTGAATGTGTTCTAGTTCTTTATACAATGAGATGTTGTAAGTGGCAACTGACACACTCACTCGTAACAGGATTTTCACGGTTACAATACAGAGGGACGGCAACTTCGGAATGACAGCTGATTTATGTCAGTTTTTTCTGTCCATTGAAGTTCACAGTATATCCTCTATCAAGCGGAACATCATCAGAGTCATCAATATACAGTAATTGGTCAAGAGAAAATTCTTGATGTTGATACTTCCAAAACTCGGGGTCTTCATGGCCTGTGACCAAGCCTTTTAAACATCACTACTTCAGAGCACTAAGGCGCTAACTTCCACAGTGCAAAGGCCAGTCCAACCTTCCGATCAAAACCGAGACCTTCCATTCCGAGTTGTCGACAGATTGAGAGTGCCTCCTACCTTTTACCAGCTTTTTTTGGCTGACTGTCAGCCTTGTCCGTTTGACCTGACAATACAAGCGTGATCAGTCGGCAACTCAGGTTAAAGACATATATTTTTCTAGAGATATTAGAAGTGCTGGATTGCCAAGGTAGGGCGTCTTACCAATTTTGCCGAGCCCATTGCAGTTCTTGCAGACAATTTGAGTCAGATCCTTTCTTGCAGCATTGGCCCTCAGTGCACCACCATCGGAATTGCGGACGAAGCCGGCTCCATCGCATACAGGGCAACTGCACACGTCAATCAAATATGAGTGAAGAGCTAGTAAACTTTAGCGCTGGACTCCATCATGAGGTGGGCAGCGTGAGTAATGCTTTCCGCAGAAAACTGATGTATGTACTGATCTCTTCTTCGGAAAACCTAAAACCTGATTCCAAAACCGGATTGTTGACGACCTCTTCCTGTTGGTCAGATGGTATGGGCACTCCTATCAAGCCCTTCGCAGGCGTATGTTCTAGACTTCTCCGTGACAAGATCCTGAGTGCGGGGCATATAGACTAAAATTCACCCAATATCCTTCATACATTCCCCGCTTATCCCATCATTTCATTTATAGACGATGGGAGGATGACAAGAGAAGGAACGTCGCGTCTTCAAACCTAGTACTCAGATTCGAGATCAGCACTATCAGGGCTCTGACGAAGCTTGAAACTCAGGAGTAGTGGTAGTCTTCAAACCGTCGGTTTCATTAAGTATGAAGTTTAGTACTGAAAAGAAGGAATGCCCTGATACAAAGTTAGATGGAAAAAGTCCGTGCCAATCGGAAAAGCGATCCTCGGGGACTTACAGATCTTTGCGAGAGAAAAAGATGGGAAATGCAGTTCCCACGATGGCGATTGCGACTGCTCCTGCAATCAAAAAGTTGTTTCCGTCGGCCGAGACGTCACCCACTGCACATACAACACCCGCCTTGCCTCGACCTACATTATCCTTCACGACTTGCCTCAAGCTCAGTGCACTCTTCCCTGGCTTTAAGCTTCCAATTTTCTTCGTACAATTGACTCCCTGAACTCCCGAGATGGACGTAGCAGATATCTGGACTAGACTGAGCGAAGCCATAGCTGAACCTCCGCGAGCTCCTGAATCTCTTGCTGTGATGAATAGTCGACACGGACCTGGGACTTCAACGCATAGACGCTTCGAGATTGGCAACGATCGGCTGCAACTCCGCTGGGAATCTACTCACTTATACAAGTAGATCATTTGTAAAAAGAGCCTGTCAAGTGCTTCGTGTAAGCACCAGAACATCCGGATGTGCTGAAGTGCCTCACTCCACCCTAAACTCTTGGCTCATGTTTCTGAAGTGACAACTAATGTGCCACCGTCCGATCTCAAATTTCCACGGCTGAGATGTATATTCTGACCTGGCAGGCTACTACCATTTGTCAACAACATAATTGTCTCCGAATCCTCTGACGTGGAAAAGTGCTCTTGAAAACGACCTGCAGATCGGCCAAAGAGTCTGGATAAGGCACAGTAGTGGATAAGAAATTCCGTAGCGGATTCTAAGTGTCTTAAAACAGCCCACGTCACAAAGTTAGCAAAGAGCGTTAAGGATTGCCAGGACTTCCAGTGACATCCCCGTCTGTCTCCAATTCCAGATCACGGGAAGGGGGCGGGGGCAGGTGTTAAAAGCTTGGGCCCATGCCGACTGTAGGGAAGGTCTTATCAATTAGTAGTTAGTAGTTGCGGCCATCCGTAGAAGGTGGATAAGGGGAAAGCTATGAATGCACAACGGATGAATGGTTCGTTGAGAGGCCTCAATACATTCCATCCTATCTCCGTCCTTTTATATGTTAAGCTCTGAGGGTAAGTCCAAGCCTACAACACGGTCATTACCCTGCAAATTTGCAAACTGAGATACATAGTTCGTGGAAACTGAGGAGAAAACATCTGTAATGGATCGCAGTAACTGGTTGGAAGGACTCACGACAAAGACCAGGTTTAAGCAGGTACCCAAAGAAAGCCGATAACTCCAAACCAGAATCCTAAAATACTCCATTATCACTTTCTGATCGATATTTCCTACCTCTGATATTATAGTCAATGAATGCAACCTTAAATATTTACTTGGAATGGGGAATATTTACAAAGTGGCTGATTTTGAAGACTACCACGCTTTGCCCCTCGCCCTATCCATTCCCTCTGGTTTCATCACTACAGTACTTCAGAGGATCTTCCATTGTTTTCTTCTGTAATACTAAGTTTTCTTTGAAAAGACATAAGACCGCCATAGTTTTATGAAAAGCAAGCTCAATCATGAACGATTCTTTCAGCAAAAATATTTCTACATTTCCAAAAAAAAATTTGTTAAAGGTATCAAAACACATCAACACAAAAGCAATAAGTTGGAGATTTAAACTCACGTTTTTTTCAAAGAAAGATGTCCCGATCAACATCAAATTCCACATGTCAACCCTTAATAAGTCATTTTATTTTTCAGGTATTGTTGCACAAGAAAAAATAACTATGTAATTTGATTCAAACTCCACGTACAAGTTTTGCAGAAGCGTGACGAATTCTGAAAATTGGATTCTGTTTTCATCATTAATGATAATTTATACAGAAGCAATTGCAGAGAATTTATGGTTTTTTCAAGTTTCATAAAATCTGAATCAGACATGATTTTTCACATCCTTGAAATCAATTTCATCTCAAACCTTGAAATTTTCACATAAGATTATTGAATATATTACTATTATGAATAAGTAACCTTTTAATATGATTCAATATTGTGCATAAAATACAAAGTTCACAAATCTCTTCGATAGAGAAAAAAATCTCAGCATCATCTCATGTGCATTCAATCCATCATTTTAAAAAATGTATTGATACACAATGTTGATTAAATTTTTGAATAATTATATTCAAGTATAATGTTTCAAAGATTCAACTTATCAAATTTTCTTTATTTTATAAGAATTACGTGAAATTTAAATTAATTTTAAAAATTTTAAATTTTAAATCTTCAAAATATATAATTTTATAATACTCAAAATATTTTACCTTCTAAAATTTATACGATAAAATATATCATGGCAAGATACATTATGGATTTGAAATTTGAAATGAAAATATTTCAGAAATGAAAAACAATAACATGTGTGAGATCATTATTCAAAAAAAGGATTATACATGAGAGTGATAGATAATTAATTTCAAATTTAATTTTTTAATCTATTCATAATTATAAGCATATGAAGAAATAATTGATATTGTATCAAAAAAGAAATTTTCAAAATCATAAAAAATGCATTTAATATTGCATTTGAGTTATGTAAATCTAAGACAGAGATCTAAGAAGTAAAATATATATTTATCAAAAAAACCTTGAATAAATGTAATTTTGTATAAAATTTCAACTTGCAATTAAAACTATGATTTCATTATATTACGTTAATATTTTTCTTCCAAATTAAATGCAGATGAGATTAGATAAAAAAATAAATTAGATTTCAAATCATCATGAGATTTATGAGTAGATAAACCTACAAAACTAAACAAAATAACTTTGCAAAAAGTCAGTAATTCAGAAGCTAACAAATGGCTAAAATTTGAAACTACACTATGATATTAGAATGTATAGTTTCAAAATAATTTTAGTTTATTGATGAAAGATATATAAAATATACTGTCAAATAGCTTCAATTTAGTTTCCTTAATAAAATAAAATAAAATACATACATATGCAAATCCATATTGAATTCAAATCCATATTATTGTGAACAATTATATATAAACTGAATGATATAAATCAAACTAAGTAGGTTTTTCAATAGCCTAAGATGTTCACAAACTATGAAAAAGTCATATAAGCAATTGATTAAATTATCATATTATAATTCATTTGATCTAGCTATCATAATTCAACATCAAAAGTCTTTTCTTTGATGAATAAAAATATTGGATCAGTTGCTTGACTAAATGAAAATTGAATATGTGTGTTGTGTCATTATTAATTATTAATGATGCAATGTAGCCACGACATTATTCAATTATTAAACATTAAAACAGAGATCTGAACGTAATAAATGACTTTTATTGATTAGTCTTTCTGAACTTTGCTCTCTATGCCTAAGAATTAAAGTTGAAAAATCTAAAATAAAATAAAATTTGAAAAAACCTGCATTTAAAAAAATCTAAGCCAAAGTTTTGCAGAATTTTTGTATTCAAGGTAAAAATAAAATTTGAACGTTCCAAATCTAAATTTTCAAACTTGTGTGCAATGAAACATAATCAATATTTATTAATTTGATTATGTTTCATTGCACTAAAATTGATAACTAAGCTCAAAAATTATCTTTGAAAGGTAATAAAATAAAACATATTTTTTGAAACTTACACTTAAAAAAATTGACTTAAAATATGAATAAAAATTTCTATTCAAGGCAATAAAAACCTTGAATTTGTCAAATTTGATTTTTAAATCTTGTGATCGGTTAAAAAATCATTTATTTTCAATTTATAATGATATTAAATTTTAAGAATTCTAATCATATAAATTATTTCATTTTTAAGATATTATTCATCTAAAAAATGTTGATATTAATTTTTCATGTGATATGAAAGAAATTGTAATACAGATCATTTCTCTTATGTTAATCAATCATAAGATGTTTTTAAAAATCTCTTTGAAGATGTTTAGATCAAATTTTTCACATATAGAATTATTTTTTTGAATCTATGATATGAAGTTTCATTTGATATAAATATTTTTGAAATCTATATTATTTTAATATGTATTTATTTAAATAATCTTTTCATGCAAAATTATGAACTAATTTCATTCTATCAATTTGGCAAGTCAGATTTTTTTGTTATAGAATTTGACCATGACACATCTTACACAAAAATGTTGCATATACGTGTATAGAATATTTGTCATGCATGTACTATATAATAACACAATAATAATGTAGTTTATAAAAAATTGATTAATCCATTGAAACTCTAATATATAAGCTAATATGATTTTTTTAAACAAACAAGTTTAGGATGGCTTGATTCATGTTAGATTTTTATCTTTATTTTTTTAAAAATTTTGAGATTATTTATTCAAAAAAATAATTGATATACTGAAGTTTTACATCTTTAATTTAAATTTTCAACATTATTGCTAAAATATAATTTATCAATCATTAAATTTTTTCTACAAAATTTTAATAAGTAAATGAAGTGACAATGTGTTTGGACAGTAAATCAAGTTAAATGTAAATACAACAAATCAGGATGAACTTTTTTGCTTAATTTGATGATAATCATTAGATTCAATTGCAGTAACATAATACACATGTTAAATTTTGTTCATTCATAAGTCAGATTTGTTTAAGATTCATTTTGATAGAATTTTATGTTAACATTTATGACTTGCAGCATGAATTTTTTTAGTTTGATTATCTTATACTTTTTCAATATAATGTATCGTTTTTTATTCAAAATACTTTAAATAAGTACTTTGAAATTTTTTTCATGTTGAATTCTTTAATCTATACACATGTTCTTCAAAATTTGATATGAAATATATTTCATTAATTTAAGAACAAGTTGCATTACTTGCACTTGTGAGCTTATACATTGCATGATAACTCAAGATGTATTATTAAATTTCTTTTGAAATAAATTTGTCTATGCAATATGTGAAATGTTTTTTATTACATTAATAATATTATTCATTTATTTCATGTAAGTTAAATAAATCAATTTTTTAATTCTATGTGATAAAACAACACAAGATATAACTCTATATATCAAATAAAACAAATCGTTTGCCATGAAGATTGGTGAAATTCATATTTTTTTGAATAAAATGAAATAATCACTTCATATACTATGTCAAATTTATATGAATTTCAAAAGTTTGAAAGTTTAAATTTGGGCAAAATGTTGAGTACTTAAACCTACACATTAACAATGGTAACAAATCTAATATCATTGATATATATTTAATCCTTATCAATATATTGGCAAATATAAATCTCGCTGCATTATGTTTTTACTCTTGCGCCATAATCCTAAATGAGCCATCAAGTTTTTTCGCATATCAAGTTGGAATTTTAGGTAGATTATATCTTATTAGCACTTCCATCCCCTTCAGAGCAAAATTGAGCTTTATAATTTGATATAAAAACTGATTTTTTCTATTGCTGTCATTATATTTATCTGTATCAATTTAATTAATTTTCACACAATGCTATATCTAAATTAAAATTTTAATAT